CCAGTTGAGCCCTGGTTGCCGGTTGAACGCTGGCTGCCACTGGCTGAGCCCTGGCCGCCGGTTGAGCCCTGGCCGCTGGCTGAGTCCTGGCCTCCAGTTGAGCCCTGGTTGCCGGTTGAGCCCTGGTTGCCGGTTGAGCCCTGGCCGCTGGCCGGGCTGGAAGACTTCTGCCAGCACCTGCCTGTTGCGGTGCATCCACCGACTCTGACCAACTTTAATGTTAAGGTTCAAGTTACTCTGTTATAATAAAATTTTCTTGAGGAAAGAAAATAGAACGTGTTTTGATCTGGATTCCAGGTATTTTCACCTGCCGGGCAGGGCTGATGGGGGCCTTCTGGGTGAAGCACAATGAGATGTGTGGCCCAGCGTGAAGCTTGGGTTATTTTTTCACCATTTGTGCCCTGGTGGTTCTACCAGCAGGCCGCTAATTATGATGCCCGTGGACATGAGGCGAGTCTGATCCCAGAGGCCGTCTGTCCTGTCTTTGGACGTGGAGGCTGGCAGGCGCCTCTGCCAGCTGAGTTCCCGTGGGCATGGTCGGGATAGCACTCCCTGGACTCAGAACCGGTTGAAAGGGACAGGCTCAGAGGCCAAAGGTGGAGAGACCAAGGGCTTCCTTTGCTCTTCTCAGCTCTCAGTGGGTGGTGCAGGTCAGGATGGGGGGAGAAGGCGGCTTCTAGGATCTGCAAAAGAACATCTGTGAGTGTGGCTTGCTGCTTCCTGGAGGAACCCCAGTACCTTCACTTCCTGGTGTGGTACACGGGGGTTGGACTGGAGGTTAGAGATGTGGTCCTTGAGGTCTTAAAGAGTCTTGGTGGCTTCATAGTACATGATTTATTGGGCTGCTAGCCAAAAGGTCTGAAGTTTGAATCCAGCTGCTCTGAGAGAAAATGATGAGGCAGTCTGTTCCTTTAAAAAAAATTTACATATTGTTTTATTGTATATTGGTTTACTCACAAAGTTCATATACATTGTGTTTCATAAAATCATTTCTGCATTCTTGACAACTTCAGTTTCCTTAAGAGAAGTATTCATTACTTTTTTTATTAAATAAAATTTTTTCTTTTGTTATTTTAAGTATAATTTACAGAAAAGGTTTTCTTTCATTAATTGTTGCCCTCCTGAAGTTGACTTTTTATTTTATACTAGTTTATCAGTCTGTTCCTTTTTTCACATTTTATTGTTATTATTATTATTTTTAATAATTTTAATGAGCATTTACAGAGATTTTGGATTTCCATTCATTCATTGCTGCACTTCTCTCCCCGCCCATCCCCCCCCCCACCAGTTCGCTCCTCTTTCAAGATCTCCAGCCTTGGAAACGCTGGTGCCTGCGTGCTGTGAGTTGCATGTGACTCGATGGCAGTGAGTTTGCCGAGGTCTTTGGGGTACTCTGACTAGTGGATCTCCTGCAGATGGGAGTGTGTGTGCACACACTCACGTGCCCATATGTAGATGGAGGGACAGTTCTGTAACTCAGTTTCTAAGACCGATTTGTGGGCAGGAGAACCAATTGCTTCCGAGTCGATCTCACGGATGGTGACCCCATGTGTGTCAGAGGAGAACCGAGCTCCGTAAGGTCTTTGAGGCTGGGACCTTCAGGATATCTGTCTCCAGGACTTTCTTAGCAAGTTCCTCTGGATGGGTTGGAATTGCCAACCTTTTGGCCAGTAATCAAGCACACAGCCCCTTGCACCACCCACCAACGCCCTAAATCAGAAAACAGCAGCAGGGAAGTTAGAAATTCTCTCTCCAGCTAGAGCATGGCCGTGGTGTGCCACCAGAATTCAGTACACGTACGTGTACGTTTGCTGTGTTGAATTCTAGGCCCATCAGAGCACAGGCTTTCACAGGGGCTGGGCTTGCCAGCAGAGAGCTGCGCTGGTGGCGGACCGGAGGTGAGGGCACAGCACCCGCTTTTCCACGTTGGTTTGCAGGGGCTGCATCGAGTGCTTGGAGGGAAGAGCCTGTGGCGCGGCTCAAGGAGGCAGGGGTTGGAGGACAGGAGCGCTCTAGTTAGAACGAGATGGGAGGTGACAGCTTGCTGGTCTCGGAACCCTGAGTTGCCGGCTCATCCTTGTGCTGGGTCCCCTAGTGGAAAGGGTGATGTCGTGGAAGTGGCCCCAGACCTGACCCCTCGCTATGTGCGGCTTCTCTTGGGCTCGGAGAGGCCGGCACTGTCGCAGCATTTGTTAACACTCCTCGCGTCCCCTGAGGATTGGGCCGGATCGGAGATGACAGGCTCTGGCCGTGAGCCCGTTTTCCCGGTGCCGTCTCGTTGGGCAGCGCAGCTTGTGAAGCACGTGGAGTAGGGCAGGGCTGGAAGGGAGCAGGGCTGTGCCCGGGACTGTCCCTTCCTCTAAGCTGGTTGGCCTTCTGCTCGGAGAGGTGGAACAGCTCAGACGTCCGTCTCCCGGCGTGCGGGCGGGGAGGGGACGGTCCCTGCTGGCAGTCATCGGCCACGTGCCGCGGTGCTGCCCACCCACCAGCTCCCTGCTGTCGTAAGTGGGGAGTCCACCCCAGGCGCCTTTAGCTTGCTCCTTGTTGGCCCGTGTTTGGGGGAGAAGGACTTTGCTGAGCCACTGAGGAATACCTTCCCCAAAAGGAGCGTGTGGAGGGAGAGGACAGCAGTGACCGCCGTGTCCCCCGTGTCCCCGCTGGTGGTGCTCAGTGATGTGACTGGTGGCGGGGATGCGGGCTCCAGGCACTCAGGGCCCAGCTCTGCGAGGCCACCTCGGTCCTCCTGCTGACTGGCCGCCGGCCTAGCCTAGCTTTTCTCCTTGGCCAACAGGCACCCGGAGCTCCCCACCCTGGCTCGACCCGGACTGTTCCCCAGAGCGCTAAAAGCCCTAAGCTAGTGAGCACCCCTGCGCAGCGCCGTGACTCACCTCTGTTAAACACTTTGACTGCAGATACCGACTCGGAGGAAGATGAAGAGTTCTTGAAGGACGAGTGGGCTGGCCAAGGGCCCTCCGGCTCCAAACTGACCTCTTCCATTCTGTGTGGCATGGTGGCCAAGAACAGCAAGCCCGCCGGGGGCCCTAAGCTGGCCAAGCGGGGCCTGGGGGGCCCCCGGACTCTGAAAGCCAAGGCGGCCGCCGGCAGGAAGCAGCCGTTCTGCTTGCTGCTGCAAGAGGCCGACCCGCGTTCCTCCTTCAGTGACTCTTCGGAGGAGGACTCGTTTGACCAAGGTTACTAGCTCAAAACCCACGCCACCTTCCGTGTCTTAGAACGAGCGAGTGAGTGCGAGAAAGCGAGCGCGGGAGAGAGGGCGGCCGTCCCGATGGCCACCACGCGCGGCCATCTTGCTTCTTGGCAGCGTAGCCTGCCTTATCCGCCTACTTCTTTTTTGATTTTTCGCTTTTGTTTTTATTTGTACTTGTATCACTGTGATAATATCTTTGGCTAGCTCTTTTTGAGCTTTTTATACGGACTGATTTTTAGTCTTCACTTTTCTCACTCTCCCTCCTCTCCTCCCTTCCCTCCCCTCCCCCTAAGTTCCTTCTTACTTTATTTTTTTTTCCTGCCCACCTAGACCACAGGCTTGGGTTGGGTTCTCTTTTGGCACGGACGGCCCGCTGGAGGCTTCCTGAAGGAACATTTTGTAAATGGAATTCTGTCGTGTGGGCGTGTGACTTGATGTCTGTACCGCGATTTTGGTAATACCAAGCTTTATTAAACATATCGAGTTCATTTTTAACTAAACCCGTGTGCCTTGTCTCTCTTGCTGTGTCCTGAACTAGACAGTAGGTGGACGCTTCCCTCATTTTGTTCCTCTACCCTCCCTCCCGCTCCCCTCCCCCCCCCAAAGGAGTAGCAAGTGATGGAATTACTGCCACTGCTTTCCTCTATTATTCAAATATCCCTGGAAGCTAAAGGCGCTCATCCCATTTGTACACAGGTCTAGAGTCAACTGCTTCCACCTCCAGCCTCATCTTTTGATTTTCTTTTCATTTTTTTCAGCTGCTTGTCTGTCTTTATTTTCCTAAGCGCTAACTTGTACGCAGCACTGGTCAAGAATGCTCCATTCGCTGACATCGTGTTCCGACACGTGTTTCTGTTTTGAAGGGCGTGTGGGCACTGCAGGGGCGAGATGGTCCAACGGACCCCTTGATTTTTGTTCAAGGCAAAAGCCCCGGCCGAAGGACGTGGCGTGGGGCTTCAGAAAGAGCGCTGGGCAGTGAGTCCAGTGGCATCGTTCGGCCTCCGCTCAGCCCTTGCCTCAGCCAGGGGGTCTCCGTGGCGTCCCCAGTCAACAAAGTCCGAGCACCTCTGGTTCCGACTTCTGATTGCAGAAGTACACTTCTGTGGTTAGAAGTGAGGGTGGGCCCGTGCTCCATTCAATCCCAAGTGTCCCAGGAAGGGGAACACGTGAGTCCCAGGGTAGGTGTCCAAAGCCCAGGTTTAGGGTTTACCTCAGGGCAGTGTCCCAGTATGGCCAGGGGAACAGCAGCATCCAGTGTCCAGCACTTGACCCTGTGCTTGAGCCAGGCAGGCACATCAGGGCATGAGCTCACTGAGACAGATGCAGAAGTGGACCCTGGGGTTGTACAGTCCTGGTCTCCCTTGCCACGCCTCCTTTCCAAATTGGCAGAGACCCATCTGGGTGACTGGACCGTGACACAGCACAGCCAGCTCCCTTGGGCTCCCAGTTTCCTGAGCCCCTGGCCGGTTGAGGAGAGAGGCCCCTAGGTCCCTAGTCTGCTTGGTTTTGAGCCGCCAGCTTCGATGATTCCCTGTCCCCCTCTCTCTGCCTTCCATCCTTCCTCCTAGCTAGGGCACCTCCCCCCCCACAGTTATTCCCTTCCTCCTCAAATCAGGGTTCAGCTCCCTAGTTTTTGCAGCCTCTGCCTGACCCCAGACCCATTCATTGAAGCAGATTCCCTTCCCCTCTGAACTCTTAGGAAGATGTAGGAGGTAGAAGCAGCTGGAGTCGTCCCTGCTCTAAGTTGGACACGGTAGCCCCAGGGGACAGGGTCTCTGTCCACTCTGTAGGGTCCCAGATTCGAGAAGGGGGTGGTTGATGGGTGGGGACGAGGCCCCCTGGCTTGAGGCACTGACTTGGTCGCCCACCCCTGCAAACAGACCTCTGGTCAGGCCTTGCGAAGGGATATTTGGGTAATAGGGCCTTACTGACCCTCGGCACTAAACCCCTGACTTGGCTCAGCTTTTCTCTAGCGTGTCTGCTTCTCCTCCAGCAGCTTACCCATCCCTCGCCCTCGCCCCCTTCCCATGATGCTTTGAATGTCTGTTTCGGTCTCTTCCATTGCTCTCACGCTGCATACTGGACGCAGAGCGGAGGCTGGGAGTAGGCAGACAGCGCAGCGGGTCCCCGAGCTTGAGCCCCAGCCAGGCTCCTTGCTCCGTAGGTAGGCAAAACCCTTCTCTCTCTGTCCCCCTCCACCTCCCCTCCTCGGGGGTGCCCCACTGGGTAATGGCAGCAGGAGGTCGCCTTGGCGTTCCTTGGGTTTGAGGAAACCAAACCAAAGTTCTTACAGCCACCCCCGCACGTACGGATCCAAGATCAAACACCAAAACAAAACGTTTTCCCGCTTTCCCGTGAGTTTCTTCATGGTGGCATTTCTCCCCTGCCCCGACCCTGAGCTAGCTCTGTTACCCCGCCTGTGGGTAATTCTGGAAGAATTTTTGGAGTCCTCAGGCCTGGCTGGTGGAAGGCGCTGTTACAGGCCCTGAGCTCAGCCCCACCACACTGGCCAGCCACCTTGGAACTCCTCCTCCAAGGGGACACCTGCACTTCTGGAAATCACATCCTTTTTGTGGGTGTTTTGGTTTTTTGGGGGGGTTTTTTTTGCTTTCACCAAGGCTCTTCTGGCCTGAAGTACTGGGACTGGGCTGCTTCTGGCTTATCCTCATGAGGTCTCTGAATCCTGCCCACGTGTGACATTTCCGGGTGGTAGAACGTTCTAGAGCCAGAACCAGCCCCCTCCCCCTCCCCCACGATTCCTAGAGTTCTGGAGTTTCTACACTTGAACAGCCGAAGAAGGGGGTCTTTGGAAGAGAAACCTTCCGGCAACACGCCCAGCCCCACGCCCCCTCCTCAGCCAGTCCATCGCCCCACCAGGCCCCTCTTCTCAGATTGGCCGTGCCCGAGCAGGCCCGCTTGGGGGGGACCCAGGTGCTGTGGGGAGTCTGCCCACACCTAGCCTGCTTTGCTGCTGTGGCCTGCTGGCTGGAGACGAACCATGTGACGTCGCCATGTGACTGGATCGCACGTGTGCACTGTCTGCCTGCCCCCCCTGCCGCCTGCCCGCTGGCCGCTCCATCCCGTGCCATCCATCGCTCTGGGGACTGCCCCCTCCCTGCCTTGCGTTCCTCCTAACAGACCCCTCCTTCCCTGCCTCCTCTCCTGCTCCTTTGATGTCATCGTTCAGGTAGTCCCAGCAGGGACCTGGGCTTCCTCCGCAGCTGGGCACACACAGGACCCCTCCCTCATTGGCACCCATGGAGGCAGCAGGAGAACGTGGACTTGGTGGTTAGACTTGGCTCCTTTGTCCTCCAGAGCCCTGCCCCGGAGCCAGAGCACATTTTCTCTGATGGGACAGTTCAGGCTTGCATGCTCCCCTAGGCCCCTGGGGTAGGGACCTCAGAGACCAGGGTGTAGGCTCAGCAGGGGTCTCTGCCCCTCATTTTCTATAGCAGACCCTGGTCATAGTCCTGCATTCTTGCCCTGCATCAGGATGGAAGCACGTTTCTACCTTCAGACAGTCTTTAGGGGGGACGGGAAGGGGGCTAGGTTTAGAACAGCTGCACGGAGCACTGACTTCCCTTCCTGTCCCTTGTGGGCCCTACAGAGTGGTAGCCTGTGTCCTGGTTCCCCTGCTGGACCCAGCAAGGCCGGCCTCGTAGAGGCCTCATTATCCACTCCCCAGACAGAAGGGTCAGGCACCCAGGGTGTAAGCACAGTGGCTGTGTCCACCCACCATTCTCTCAAGTCCCAGGCTGGGGCTGGACACCTTTTTTTTAATGAGCCCTGGTGGCACAGTGGGTTGAACATTGGGCTGCTAACTGAAAAGTGGGCAGGTTGAACCAATGAGCTGCTGCTTGGGAGAAACTGAGGCAGTCTGCTCCCTTCCAGCTTTCCAGCCTCAGACACCCCAGGGGTAAGTGCCCTCCTGCAGGGTTGATGGACGTCAGGACCCACTTACGGGCAGTGGTTTTTCTAGTGGGTTGTAGGTAAGCAAGGCCCCTGGGTTTGCACCCGGGAGCTCTGGGGGGACGTCCGCAGTGTGCGGCTGGCTGGCCCAGGGTGCCTCAGTGGTGGTTCAGATGCACCAGCACCTCGAGGGCGAAAGACGGGCAGTCTCCCCGTGTGACTTACAGCCGCCCGAAAACCCACCCGAGGGTCGCCTGCGAGGCTCTGTGACTCGATGGCAGTGGATTATTTTAGCTCACCCGAAAGGTGATGGTTTGAACCACCCTGAGGGGCTTCAGAAGCACGACCTGGCAGTCTACGCCCAGGAAGACGAACCTGACACAGTGCAGTTCTGCACGGGGTCGAGTCACCTCCTTCTCCTGAGCTGCTGGCCGAGGTCCCAGAGTTTAACGCCAGAACCGAGCCGGACTGCATCTTGCCGTCCGGTCACATCCACCTCGCGACTTTGAGTGTCCAGGGCTGTAAATCTTGCTGTGTGGGGACCGCCCATCCTTCTTGAGGAGTGGCTGGGGGATTTGAACTGCTCACCTTGGCTTTCAGCACCACCAGGGTTTGTTAATTACTCAGTGGTAGCCCCAGGCTTGAGTCTGTTTTGGCCCATTTGAATCAGCACTAGTACATGCAGTTCCCTGGCCCAGGGACAGCCCTGTCCCCTTTGGTGGACTGTGGGGTGGCCCTGAGCTGAGGTCCTCATGGAATCTGCAAAGCCCTTTCTCCCATCCCCTTGGGGGACCCCATTTGAGCCTCCCTACAGCTGAGTAGAGAAAAGAGGGGTATAGATGAGACTTAGTGACCTGCCTGGGTACCCCCAAATGGGGGTGTCGGTGGAAGTCACCTTTGAACTTGAACTCTAGGGGTTTGTTGCTCACCCAAGAGACACCAAACTCCACCTTCTCCTGCTGCCAGCCCTGGGCCTCCAGCTCCCTGGAGGACGCCTCCCAGCCCCCGCCTCCCCCTCAGCCTCCTCTTCCCTTCTCTTCCTTCCTGCCTCCTCTCAGCCTTCATGTTGTATGTCGGGGTGCGTGTGTGCGTGTGACTGTGGAGAGAGCCGTCTCCAGTCCTTGTCTGTGTCCGTCCCCGTCCCAGCCCAGGTGCATGCCAGTGGCCCCTGGCAGAAGCCCACTCCGAGACTCACAGCCGCTGCCGTGTCTGGCCCACTCAGGGCTCCGTGTGACTGGGCAGAGGGGACACGGGAGGGACCGGGGGCCACCGCATCCTGCGCTGGCTCGCGAGGGGGCTGGGGCCCGGGTGGCGGTGGGGGTGCCGGGCGCCGGCCGCAGTCTGACTTGGCCCCTGTTTTCTGCACACCAGATGAGAGCTCCGAGGAGGAGGACGAGGGGCTGGAGGAGGAGGAGGACGAGGCCGGCGGCTATAGGCTGGGGGCCCGGGAGCGGGCCCTGTCGCCGGGCCTGGAGGAGAGTGGGCTGGGCCTCCTGGCTCGCTTTGCAGCCAGCGCCCTGCCCAGCCCCACTGTGGGGCCAGCCCTGTCGGTGGTACAGCTGGAGGCTAAGCAGAAGGCCCGGAAGAAGGAGGAGCGGCAGAGCATGATGGGTGAGCCTGGGGCAGCGTGAGCGGAAGGCGGGCTCGCCGTGTGCCCATTCTGCAGATGGGGACTGCTGAGGTCGGCAGAGGGAGGAGGAGTGGGGAGCAGGGAGCCGGCGGATGGTATCCCAGCCTTGTGGACCTGAGCGAGATGCCCGCCTGGCCTCCTGTTGGCCAGGAGTCCTCTGGACAGAGGGCCCTCACCATTTGAACCCCACAAACGTGACAAGACCTGCTCCCTTCGTGCCTTTCTGGGGAACATTGAGATCTCGGGATTGCGTCCTAGGAACTGAGGATGTAGATAGAGACCCATAACCCAGCCCCGGGGTCCAGGAAGTCCCTGCAGGTTGGGGCCACAAGCAGGAAGTAGGAACGTGGGCCGGCAGAAGGGACGGCTGGTTCCAGAGGGTTCTGAGGGCAGCTCAGAGGTAGGGGTCACAGAGCTTGGTCATATTCAGCACATTTTTTTTTTGGGTGCACCATTTAGTCTGTAAGAACACATGATCATCTGAGTTGATGATCAAAAAGAAGTGTTTCGTTTATTCCCGTGCCTAGTTCCAGCCCGACTCCTTGTCTAATTGGATTCGACTCCCAGCGGACTCTCTAGGGTCTCTGAGGCAGTACATTGCATGGGGGAGGTTGCCCATCTTTCTCCCTTGGAGCTGGGGGGTGGACTTGAACTTCCAGAGAGGGGAGGCCTCTGGGTCAGCAGCACAACTTCCTGCTTTTGGTTTAAAGAAGCAGAGACTCGAAGCAGGGAACTCGTCAGGCCAAGTGCTCTCGGCCCTGCGTTGGATCCTTGTGGCTGCGCTCGGGCCAGCCAGTTGGCCGGGTGGACGCTGAGAGTGACTCGTCTGTCCCCTTCCTTTGTATCTCTCATCACATCCAGAGTTACTGCTGTCTCAGAATTAGAAGGTTGTGGCCGCCTCTCCTGCCCCCCTCCATTGTCCCCAAGCCTTGCACCGTGGTTGATCTTTGAGGCAGATGGTCCTGCAAGTCTCTTACTGGACACTAACCTGCCTCCACGGCTACCCACCTTGTGTCCTGTGCTATGTCCCAAGATGGCCCCGAGTCCCTCCTGCCAGGGGTGAGGTGAGGGAAATAAGACACCCACGTGCCACCAGCTGTGTCCCGTCTCCACAGGCCTCTGCAGTCACACTAGGCCTCGGGCCCTGGCTCTGCTTCTCCCTCCCTCTCACCCTCATGTCACTGTCGTGTGCTGCTGTCCACTCGGCCCCTGACTCACAGGGAGCCCATGCCCAGCAGAGCCAAGTGCTGCCCGGTCCTGGGGCGTCCCCACAATCTGTGAGCCCAGCTGTCGTGACTCTGGACTTTCATGGGCTGGTTTTCAGAAGTGGGCCGCTGCCTGTTCTTCCTCAGGTTGCTTTCTGGACGCTCCCCTGAAACCTCTTAGTGTCCTGGGGACACACGAGCCCCTGCTGACGGACGGTGACCGTGCGTTAGTTAACTGGCTGGGAATCGAATCCAGGTGTCCAGCTGGGGAGGCCAGGATTGTATGTACGCCCACCATTCCTCTGACCCCCACGCCCTGGCCTGTTCCCTGTGCTGTCTGGGCTTAGTGCCCGGCCCTCCTGGACTACATGCCCTGCCACTAGCGCCTTCTGGGCTTGCCCCTCAGCTGGAGGGCTCTTTCTCAAGCACCTAGCTTGACCATGCCACTTCTGTGCTCCAGACCGCTCCCTGACTCCCCTTTGCCCAGTGTCCAGAGACCACCTGCTCAGTGGTGGCTACTTGTGTGACATCATCTGTCCCCAGCTCCACATCCTGCCACATGTTCTCTTATCTCCTATAGCCCAAAATATCCATTTCATCAAGATTGTCAAATCTTTTGATATAGACCCAAAGTAAACCAAACCTATTGCCATTGCATTGCTATTGGGTCTCGGAGGCTGTAAATTTTTTTTTTAAATAATTTATTTTTTGAGAAGGAGGCACAATCTCCTCCTGTATCAGTCAGATCTGATTTGACGGTACACACACACACAAAATAATAAAATTTAAAAAAAAAATAAAAAAAATAATTTTTTTTAAAAATTTTATACTGGTTTACTTATAGAGTTTGTATACATTGTCTAGAGGCTGTAAATCTTAACTGATTGCCCATCTTTCTCCTGAGCTGCCGCTGGTGGATTTGAACCACTGACCTTGCAGTTGGCAGCCTAGCACGTAACCCTGTACTCCAGCAGGGCACCTTGTGATCCCCACTATTTCTTTGTTGGTACGGCCGACGGTCCGGGGGTCATCACGCCAGTGGTGCCTCCTCGCTCATGGCTGAAGTGGATGATTACTCTTTCTCCTCTCCGTACGTTTTTTGTTTTTTTTTGTGTTTTTTTTTTTATTTTATTATTTTTGCATGAGTGTGCCGTCAAATCAGATCTGACTGGTACAGGAGGACTCTCCGTACGTTTTTATCACCCTAGCTCAAAATGATCTGTTTCGTTGGACTTTTTTCTGCATTTTTCGTTGTGGTTTTCCGTTTCATTGGTCTCTGCGCTTTATGATTTCCTTCTCTTTGCCTTGAGTTTCATCGCAGCCACTTCCGACCATTTCTTTGGTGGGGAGGTTGAGATCACCGATTCGAAACCGAGATCACTGATTCAAAACCTCCTTCTCTGACAGATACTTAAGCCCGTGGGGATTCTACCAGTCTCTGATGAACAGCTAGATCCGGCCTTGTCTGAGTTTGCATTTGTTCTACATTTTTCTCCCTTGCTCTCCAGAACCTTCAAGAGTGGTCAGCAGGCAGGGAGGCACTACCTGGTTTTGGTCCCAAAGGCGTGGAGGCGGAGCTCCTTGGGGCCCGGCAGTCCTTGGACCACTTATTTCTGCGTGTCTTTGACCTTCACCATTTGTCTTTGGCAGTCATGGGGGTGGGGGGTTTTAGATCGTGTCGCTTTGTCATGAGTGTTTTCATCTCCGCAATGATGGCAAAGCTCTGTACCTCTCTTTTCAGGGTTACTCTCTCAGTTTTTGCTGGTGTCTTTGAACCTCACTTGCCCAGAGCCCTTCTCGCTCACACTCAGAATAGTGTTTCCCCTTGAACTGAAGCTTGCTGACTACTGGTCGTTCCCATTTCTCTCTGGTTTACGGCGTTTTGTGCTGGGGTTTTATTGGGTATGAACGTGGCCCTGCCGGCTTCCGAATGCTTATTGTTTGTGTGGTCAATCTCACTTCCATCCATTTATTCTGTCTCCAGTTTAAAACGAGTCTCTTATAAACAGCATATGGGGTTGTGAAGTGCCGACTTGTGTAAAACAGACAACGACCCACCTGGGTGCTGCCACGTCCTGACGACCCTGACTGTGTGCTCACCCACTGCTGGGGCTGTCGTGTCCGTCCGTGCCACCGAGTCCTCCTTCCCCAGGAACTCGTCTGCCTGCGTCCAGAGACAGGGAGGCAGAGTCTCACCGTCCTGCTTGCTGGCTTCTTAGCGTGCCGTTCAAATGGTTCTGGCAAAACTGACTTCCACCTGCAGAAAGCTGAAACAGGATCCACATCTCACATCATACACAAAAGTCAACTCAAGGTGGACCTAGAGGTAAAACCCCAAACCATAAAGATCATAAGAGATGAAGCAGGACCAAGCTTAGAAGCCGAAGCCCATGGTATAAAAAGTCTGACAAATACAGCGAGAAACACACAACCAGGAGAGGATACAACTGATGAATGAGACCTAAAGATTAAATCCCGGTGCACATAAAAAACCTTTCCGACAGACTGAAAAGAAAACCTGCCTACTGGGAAAAATGGTATTTAACAATACCATCTCAGATAACAACCATCTCTTATAACAAAAGTTTATATAATACCACTAGAAAAAGACTAATAACCCAATTACAAAATGGGCAAAAGACACGGAAAAATGTTTCACAGAGGAAGACATTCGGATGGCCAACAGACATGAAGAAATGCTCAAAATCGCTGGCATTAAGGGAGATATAAATCAAAACCACAATGAGATACCATCTTACCCCAGTAGTAGTGGCAAAGTTTACCAGGACAACAAGGAATAAATGTTGGAGAGGATGCAGAGAGATAGAAACTCTCAAACACTGATGGTGGGATTGTAAAATGGTACAACCACTCTAGAAGGCAGTTTGGTGTTTTCCTCAAAAAGCTGAACACAGAAGTTCCATAACCCAGCTATTCCACTGCTTGGAATAAACCCTGAGAAAATTAGAACTGAGGCACAAATGGAGACTTGTACACCAGTATTCAAACCAGTGTTATTCATTATTGCAAGAACATAGAAACAGCCCAGATGTCCAACCACAGTTGAATGGATTGAGAAACTGTGGTGCATTCACATGATGGAATACTATGCAGCAGGCAGGAGCAATGATTTAAAATTTACTACATAAATTGGGAGGGACTGGAGAGTATTACGCTAAGTGAACTAACTCACTCCCATTAAGGACAAACACTGTGTAAGACCATTATTGTACAAATAGATAACTAGTAAAACAGGTATGAGGATCCAAGGGGGTGAGGGTAGGAGCAAAGAAGTAGGATGGGCAGGGTGGTAATCGTAGGGGGTCGCACAGTTTGATGGGTAGAGGGAGGAAATGAGAAAGATCTGATGGGGATCTGGAAAGACAGGGCAGTGGTGGGCATAGTTTGGTGTTGATTAATTTTATTTAAAAAAAGAAATGTCATATAAAGAAAATAAGAAGTCAAAAATTTAAAAAAAATACAAAAAAAATTTAAAAAAGAAAAATAAGGGAGGAAAATGTGCAACAAGGAATGAATGGAAATTAAGTTCTTTATAAACTTTCATTAAAATCTAAAAAAAATAATAGAAAAAAATACAGTGAATAGAAGTGTTTGTCTGAAACTCAGTGTGAATAGAGTGTGAAAAACAATGTATATGAACTTTGTAAGCAAACCAATATAAAATAAAAATTTAAAAAGAGGTCTTTGATGACAGATTTACCTAATGCATATAGTTGATTATTTGTGTTTTATCCCTCCTATAATATCTGCATTTT